GTAAAGAATGTGTCTGGTGTTAGTTGCTTTACGGTAGAACGTTGCCCTTATTTTCCCGTCTGCCAGTTTTGTTACTTAGATGTCAAGGAAGGGCAAGAGCTTTCAAGGCATTAATGAAGCCAATTTTTTTCCGACATTCTGTTTACGATTGAAGAAATGTCAAAAATCAGTTGTCCTTCCCTGACGTCCAAGTTACAAAACTGGCAGACGGGAAGACGATAATTATGTCTTCGATATTGGTGCGAAGTTCCCATCGAGTGGGCCTAACAAGTGCACTGCACGTGATGGGGCTTAGGCTTACAGAGTCTTGGTTAACATCTAAATCACGCGCCCTCTTCTCACGCCTACCCATTTTCAGCATGAAGTCACATGTCAAACGCCTGCACGCGTGTGTAAACGCTGCCGTTGACGTGGAAGCCGCACACCGTTGCATGTTTCACGTACGTCAGTCGCTAGACCTGTGCGCATGTGACTTTATCACGGATTGTTCAGCAGTTAAGAATTGGCACCAAGGACACATAAGCAAGGGGTCAGTTAATCGGTCATTTATTTATCTAGGGAATAGAATTTGCTCACTGACAACAGCGTGTCACATCCGACGCGGGCATCCTGCCCTCTTCACTTAAGCACCAAAACGGACTACAAGTTAGCTTACTACGCATAAATGTGTCCTTCTGGCGCGTGCCTTGGAGATGGGTCGACGCCGTCGTTTGGCAGTGAACATAATAGAGTCAAAAATGGAGACGTACATCATCTCAGGGTGCAGAAACGTGGAGTTTGCTATCACTGTGTTGCACGAAAACCTAGCCGAAACTTTCGATTTGCTTTTCAGGAAATAACTTGACCTTCGTTTAATAACTTTAGTATCTCATCGAGTATTACTCTAAACGGATTCTTCCATGCGGAAACGACTGTATAATGAGTGTTGTTATGTGAAAACAGCTTCCACTGATCCGTTTCATTATAGCCAACTGAAAGTTATATTTTTCGTTGGTTTAGAATGCCTAAAAAATTACGTTACAGAAAGGCAATCCTTAAATCAATGATGTCAGTGAGTAAGAAAATTGCGGAACTTAAGGTACAACTGCGAAGTGTGCTCGCCGCAAAACCCTTCACAGGATAAAATTAATAATTGCTTTTAGTTGAAAGTTAAATAAAAATCCGAAAACACCTAAGAGTGTTCTTTCTCTGTAACCATAGTTTTAAAATGAACGAGGGCCAGAGATCAGCTCATTAATGATTTCAAAAAGTAAAGTTAAAGCAGAAAGCTTGAGAAAGAATACGTGTATTTCATCTTGCGGTGATTAATCGAAAACATTTGGTGACTAGAAGGGGAGTTTTTAGTACACTCATTACAGTAGCTGCATAGATCCGTTGTTTATTCTGGATCGCTTACAGCTTCAGAAGGTGTCTTACATGGTTATTAACGGAAAAGGCTAATGTTTGAATATACCTGTTACGTGGACATAGCCACCCGTTAAAGCATAAATTGAAATTCAAAAGATGCCAAGTTTAATTCACTACTCAAACGCGAGTCTCTATCCCTTGAAGCCAAAATTGCACAGTTATTGCTAAACTCATATTTGTTATGCCTGAAGTTAACACCAAGGGAAGGGAGCCTGACGTGTCTTTCTGCGATATTGTACTCCATTACTAAGGCGTTGAAATGGTTAAGTTGCATTTTCTCTTTTTGCATATTTTACTGATTCCTTTGCTTGGTGTTCCTTTAGGCATATGCACCATACATTTTTGATTTAAGCGACAAACTTGACCAATGTTTTCAGCTCTTCCACAGTAGTCTCCACCATAAGTGGACACAGCAAACACAAACATCTAAACCTTTCTACGCATTATCAATAATGAAAAACAGTTAATAGCGTATCATCAAAATGAGGTGATGGCCAAACTTAGTTGGAGTTCATTCACCGCCTTCATACTGACTAAGATTAAGATAATTCGTCCAAAAACGGATATTAAATTCAAAATTCATCCCCTGATGGGATTGGTAAGCTATCGTTATATTCCTGTAGTTTTGTAAGAAAGTAAAATTTTGCAAATATTAATAGCTTTTGTTTCTTTGAAAAGTTGTTTTAGTCGGTTGTCGTGAACACTTTGACGGTGCGTTGATGTGAATATTTATTCGACAAAATCCATTTAGATTTTAAAGGGAGCAAAAAATGTAGTTAAGTCCATCCAAACTTGCCTCGTACACGTCGATATCCAGTTTAGCGAAAGTGACCGTGGTCTCCTCCTCAGCAAGCTGTTCATAGGCCGCCTTGACGGATTTACACGGTCCACACCATGTTGCGAAAAAATCTACGATCACTAGACGCTCCTGGCTGATTTTCTTGATCTCTTCCATATCTTCCTACATGAGACAATAGTATGAAATTAGATTCAAATAATAAAGTTATCTTAGGAATAACAGCAATGCATTTACAAGTTTAAATACCAACCTTCAACGTGAGCATTAGAAAATGAAATACCCAAACTGTCGAGCTATACCCATATGTATATTCTAACCACCGTTGTAGATTAATGTGCCGATATTCATTATCATTGAAATGTCTAGGTTAAAAATTAAGTGAAACACTTATATTACTTTCATCGTTCCTTAAATAAGTTGATGTAGAAGAGTCGGATGCATTCACGCGGTGTATTTGTACTGTTGCCTCGAAGATTGTGGGGGAACGAACAAGCCAGGGGGTCATGCAACGGGCTTATCGGGGTCTCCAAGAGGTAAAGGTTAGTTGTCACGTGCGACTATGTGTATTCAGTCAACATAGCGGTAAATGGACGCCAAAAGGTCAAGTTGATTTTGTGACAGTAGGCTGTCACGCGATTCCATGAGCGATCTTTTACAGAAAAATCGGGATCAATCAGTTGCACAGGGGCAAATCAAATGTTAGGCACTGGGCGCAGTCATACATTGAGGCAGACGGAGTTTGAAACATCGTTTTCCAGGTACAAATTTGAAGACAGCGTAAGTAGCAG